GAAACAATTAGTTGACATTTTGTTGTTTCCTTACATTGAAACAACGTTGACAACTAAACGAATCTCGACTAATTTTCTTTGGTCGCATGATAAACGTTGAATCAACGTTTATGAAAGGTTGATCAACCAAACAACCAAAAGTCCACTTTGATTAAACGTTGTCTCAACGTTGTGTGCCCGCTGAGCTGTGACATGGTATCATAACAATGCATGGTGTGGATTGACAATTTCTTTGTAATTATTTGCTACACGGTGTTTCAAGTTGGCGTGTCACAATTCGGTTCGGTTCATCGAAAATCGAATCGATAGATGTACGATTCGATCTCAATTTCAAATGCATCCATTTCGATTCGATTCATAAAGTACTTACTTTCTAATACTGAGAGTTTATTTCACCTGAAATCGTAAGAAATTATGTTGAAAATTCGCTGCTACAAGTGTGGCCAGTGAAGAGGGCATTCTCCACTGCCGGAGACATTGTAAGTGCCCAGAGTGAGTGAGTGAGTGAGTTAGGTTAGTTTTACGCCGCACTCAGCAATATTCCAGCTATATGGCGGCCGTCTGTAAATAATCGAGTCTGGACCAGACAATCCAGTGATCAACAGCATGAGCATCGATCTGCGCAATTGGGAACCGATGACACGTGTCAACCAAGTCAGCGAGCCTGACCACCCGATCCCGTTAGTCGCCTCTTACGACAAGCATGGGTTGCTGAAGGTACATTCTAACCCGGACCTTCGCGGGTCGTAAGTGCCCAGAGGGCATGTCTTTCAAGTGAAAATTCCTTGCACAGAACATGATCATTCCAAATGACTTACAGTGACATTACAGTCACAATGAACTCTTGACACCAGAGTTTGTGACTGAAACTTAATTTCATGATCACTTGTTCAGTGAGTATTTGTTGACAACTTGTCTTGACAGTGTCCTAATTGTGCATTGTGGCAATGTTCCAAATTTTGCCAAAATGAAACTGATGTTACAACACATTTGACTTTATGCTCAGCTTTGGTGAATCGAATCGAAATTAACGAATCGAACGAATTGAATCGATAATCGTATCGAATCGAAGTGAGAGAGAATCGTGACACCCCTAGTTTCTAGAATACTTCTTGCCCCTTCATCAGGTGAATGACAGAAACACTTGTAAATCCATACCATTCGCTGTTATGTTACCTTCCAGCTTCTAAATGCCCATCAAGCATCTGATATGGTATCTTTGAGGGCTAACACTAGAAAAAAAGTACAATACAAACACAATATGCGCACAGTTACACAGGCACGTGTGCGCGCATACAATCAATCAATCAATCACGTTTATTTCGTAACAAGGCCTTAGGCCCACGTACAATACAAATAAGCATGTGTAATTATAAGATAGTGGCATTTGACAATCAGGTTTATGTGTATAAAGAACGCAATGACAATGCTTCCTTAATGTAAGAAGAACAATTTGTTAGTGTTGAAAACTTTGTACAGGATAATGTGTTTAGAAAGTATTGCTGATCTATGTAATTTGGTAATGCTTTAAAATACTTATAGCGCAAATCATGATAAATTTTACATTGAAATAGGAAATGAAATTCATTTTCTACAAAATTATCATTACAAATAGTACATAGTCTTGGGTGCCCCGGAACTCCATCAAATCTACCGGTATTTTTATATATTGGAAGTGCACCGATTCGTAACATTGTAATTCGACGCCTCGCATCTTTAGATTTCAATAAAGTTAAATATGGCTCAATGCAAAATACACTTTTGATACTGGAATAGACATCAAGCGATGAACATTTGTGCATTTCTGAAAATATGAATTGCTTCTGACAATCACCAACTCTTACATGAAAATCTTTCAAAAATTGTTCCTCGTTGCTAACTCCTTGAGCTTCCCACACAAAACCAAAACCATAATTGAACGAGGTATTTCGGACAAAATGTACCCACGTTTTCCTACCAACTTTGTCTAAATTGTGCAACATAATGTAGCACTGCTTTGGATTTCTATCCTTTGGTAAGCGTAAAAGTTTGAACCAATACTTCATAACACGTAATAAACTATCAACATAAATATAATTTCTACCACATTCCGCCAATACAGGAGCGTTAGAGCATGTATAACTTATGCCCAACACATACTTACAAAATCTGATGTGAAACTGTTCAATAACATTCCATTTCCGAAAACCACATATTTCCGAAGCGTACAAATTTATCGGCTTTATCTGAACGTCAAAGATTTTGAACAAAATAATTGGAGAAATATTTTTAAGTCTCCTACCAAAAACCTTAACTGAGCACAAGGCGTTATTCGCTTTATTTACCAGATTTTGAACCGGTTTAGACCATGAAAGTCTATTTGAAAACAATAAACCCAAATAATCATAATATGTAGAAACGTTTAGCTTATGATCATCAAAGTATCATGATTCATACCACCTTAATTTACCACCTCTGTTTTCTCAAAATTTACAGACAAGCCCCATTTTTTGCAAAACTGTAGTAATACATTGATCTTCCTCTGAAGACTAATGGCAGAATCTGCAAACAAACATAAATCATCTGCATACAGTAGCATATACAATTCCATAAACTCTGGATCAATAAATACGCCCCTGTCACCACAAGTAATTATTTCCGTATACAACTGGTTAACAAACAACGCAAATAGAAGAGGACTTAAAATACAACCTTGCCGAACCCCACTCAAAGAATCAAAATATTCCGAAACATTTAAATTGTTTAGCTTAACACTAGCTTTTGTCTTTGAATACATATCTCTAATGATATTGAACATAGGACCATGGACACTATAAGATAACAAAACAAACCAAAGAAGATCTCTATTAACTGAATCAAACGCCTTACGAAACTCAACAAATAAACAATGCACGTACGTATGAACGCACACGCACACTCATATCTGTAACCTGTAACTATCCAGGGCCCCGTTTCACAAAACTCTCGTAAGCCTAAGATCTCGTAATTTTTCTCGTAGGATTTGTACTTCCTAAACTGTAACATTGACTTACGATAGTCGTAGCGCTACGAGAGCTTTGTGAAACGGGACCCTATACTGTAACATTGACTTACGATAGTCGTAGCGCTACGAGAGCTTTATGAAACGGGGCCTATACTGTAACATTGACTTACGATAGTCGTAGCGCTACGAGATGTTTGTGAATCGGGGCCCTATACTGTAACATTGACTTCCGATAGTCGTAGCGCTACGAGAGCTTTATGAAACGGGGCCCTATACTGTAACATCGACTTACGATAGTCGTAGCGCTACGAGATATTTGTGAAACGGGGCCCTATACTGTAACATCGACTTACGATAGTCGTAGCGCTACGAGAGCTTTATGAAACGGGGCCCTATACTGTAACATCGACTTACGATAGTCGTAGCGTTACGAAAGCTTTGTGAAACGGGGCCTATCCTGTAACATTGACTTACGATAGTCGTAGCGCTACGAGAGCTTCGTAAATCGGGGCCCTATACTGTAACATTGACTTCCGATAGTCGTAGCGCTACGAGAGCTTTGTGAAACGGGGCCCTATACTGTAACATTGACTTACGATAGTCGTAGCGCTACGAGAGCTTCGTAAATCGGGGCCCTATACTGTAACATTAACTTACAATAGTCGTAGCGTTACGAGAAACGGGGCCCTTGTCTGGGCCAGATAATGACTCGTGAATGACCATCTGGACGACGTTCAGGGAACGTGTGACAGGCACACGATGCCGATACGCATCTGAAATTCTCGTGGGGTTTCTCATCCCTATAAACAATACTTAATGTACTCTCGTACAGTCAATGATATTCCAGGTCCATGCATAATGCAGTAGTTCCAAGCTCCTATGTGTGTATTTAACGTAAAGGCCTTTCCGCTTCAGAACTCCACTATCAATGTGGTTCAATAATTTCGGCTCAGTGCACTCATCAAAACATTCAGTTGATGTTTAACACAGCATTGTCCGCTTGGTGTGGGCGGACAGCGTGACGTGTGAACGATCCTGGACGCTGACCGCTGTGGTCAAACCACCAAGCATGGATATGGATTTGACAAACCAAGGAACAGAAGCACGGCGAACCCACGATCGAACTCAATATTATACAATCCTGCAATGGCAAAGGGACGCAACTCATTACAGTGAATTAGACGACTAACGTTCCCATACTCTCTGCTTGAATAAAACTCGCATATGCCCAGAAAAATAACTAAACCTTTGAGTTAGTGAGCGTGAGATAGCAGGGCTCGATTTAGTGCTTTGTTACTTGCACTGATGCAACCCAATATCATAAAGTGCAACCTAGTTATTACTCGTGCAGTAATTCAATAGTATATTTCTTTCTTTACATATTGCAATAAAAGCAGTGCAACTGGAATTTGGCTGGTGCAACTGTTTTTATCTTAGGTTGCACCTAGTGCAAGTAGGTTAACATCTCTTAAATTGAGCCCTGGATAGGCTTAACTCTTTGAACGGTATTTCGGTTATACTATATATCACGGCGCTTTGAATCTATGGCCTTCACATAGTGAAAATTATCAAATTCATTCGATCCCTCGAGCAAATCTTTCGAGCTTCGACACATACGGAGTGAATCTGTTAAGGATTGCTCATGTAGATCCAGACCGGGCCGAGCCTCGTCTTAAAAGATATTCGAGTTGACAAGGGTATTACTGCACTTTCAATTCACGACGTTGTCACGAAGTCTACATCAAGAATCAGTAGTTACTACTGACACAATATTTTCAAACTGTTTTTTTAAAAATTTACATCAATTATTGCTACGTGTTCGTGTGTCAAACCATCATTGTTAAATATTGGATATTCACGTGTACCCGTCTGTAACACGCGGCTGAGCACGCTCCACATGCGCAGGACAAGCAGTTGGGACTGCCACCCGTATAAGCATTATCACCGCCGTATTTATACACACGTTTGAATATTGATTGTGAGTCTCTTCATAGCGACATCAGCAGTGGCAGGGTGGGGAGCTGAATCGCTGGTGTCCGTTGTATGTCCACAATACCACACAGGTGCCAGGACTGAATGCCAGGACTTAATGAGAGACACAGGTACCAGGACTTTAATGATTGAGAGACACAGGTGCCAGGACTTAATAGGGAGACAATTGAGAGACACAGGTGCCAGGACTTAATGAAAGACGAGTACCAGGACTTAATGAGAGACACAGGTGCCAGGACGTAATGAGAGACACAGGTACCAGGACTTAATGAGAGACACAGGTGCCAGGACGTAATGAGAGACACAGGTGCCAGGACGTAATGAGAGACACAGGTACCAGGACTTAATGAGAGACACAGGTACCAGGACTTAATGAGAGACACAGGTGCCAGGACTTAATGAGAGACACAGGTACCAGGACTTAAAGAGAGACACAGGTGCCAGGACGTAATGAGAGACACAGGTGCCAGGACTTAATGAGAGACACAGGTGCCAGGACTTAATGAGAGACACAGGTGCCAGGACGTAATGAGAGACACAGGATGTACGTTATAGCATAGGTACCAGGAGTACGTTATAGCACAGGTACCCGGACTTTATGTCATGTATAACAGGAGGTACGTTATACCATGGGTACCAGGAGGTTCGTTATAGCATAGGTACCAGGAGGTACGTTATAGCACAGGTACCAGGAGGTACGTTATAGCATAGGTACCAGGAGGTACGTTATAGCATAGGTACCAGGAGGTACATTATAGCATAGGTACCAGGAGGTACGTTATAGCATAGGTACCAGGAGGTACGTTATAGCATAGGTACCAGGAGGTACGTTATACCATGGGTACCAGGAGGTACGTTATAGCATAGGTACCAGGAGGTACGTTATACCATGGGTACCAGGAGGTTCGTTATAGCATAGGTACCAGGAGGTTCGTTATAGCATAGGTACCAGGAGGTACGTTATAGCATAGGTACCAGGAGGTACGTTATAGCATAGGTACCAGGAGGTTCGTTATAGCATAGGTACCAGGAGGTACGTTATAGCATAGGTACCAGGAGGTACGTTATAGCATAGGTACCAGGAGGTACGTTATAACATAGGTACCAGGAGGTACGTTATAGCATAGATACCAAGACCTACTCTCTACCAAAGGTACTAAGAAATCCGTTATACTAAAGGTACCAACACTGGTACCAATAACTCGCATATATATTCGGACTTTATTACAGGTGCCAGGAATATACCATATATGTACTGGAAAGCATTAGCCTATGACAGAGGTACCTTAAGTTCCCCATTACTAAGGTACCAAGACACGTTTAACCATTTCACGTTTTATCGCATAGATACCAGGAGTATATTACTTAGGTACCGGGATATCTTCTATGTAAGTGGCCTTTGCAAGTGTTTACCAGATAGGTACCAGTGTTTGTGATTAGGAGACCGACCAAAACATCTCCAACGCCAAGATTTAAAGGCGGCACTGAACCAGATATCATGGATACAAGAGCGCTGAAGGTAATATATTTTTTAATTGAACGTATTTTATATTTGTCGTATTTAAATTCCTTCACGATATCATTTAGCAATAACCAAAAACAAAACTAAAAGACATTTCCAGTCTAGCTCGTTTATCTATTGTGCATACGAAATGAAAGTCAAGTTAGAATAATAGAAAGTAGGTATTACGATTTTAGTCCAGCTACACATATATATATATTTATATGCTCATTATATATTTTACTTGTGGTGTACGATAATCTATGCAGGTAGACCGGTAAATGCTATGAATTTATGAGAAATTGTTTCATTTTTTCGTTCATCCCTTCATACCTGTTTGGAATATGCATATGAATATGTATATGGGCCTGTGGCTTTCACAATAAACATTTGATGATGATGATTATGACGATAACGATACGAAAGATTAAACCCAGAAACCAAAAGAATATATACTACGGTAGTATCTGAGGTTTTGGCTAGTGAACACGAAGGTATACCCCAAAATACCTTCTTTATGTGTGCGTGCGCGCGTGCGTGTGTGTGTCCTTTTTTAAGTTTCGAGGATTGTTTGTCATTTGGTTATTTGGGGGTTCATATTTGTTGTTGTGCAGGGGAAATATCAGTGTAGGTTCAATCTATGTCATTATCGGGGCGTTGTCATCTGGTGTGATTTCCAGCTGTAGCGAGGGTCATCACTTGAAACTCAGAGGGGCGGTGAGGTAGCCGTGTTGTTAAAGCGTTCGCTCATCACGCTGAAGACCCAGGTTCAATTCCCCACATGGGTACAATGTGTAAAGCCCATTTCTGATGTCCCCCGCCGTGATATTGCTGGAATAATGCTAAAAGCGACGTAAAACCATATTCATTCACTCATATAGCAGATCGCCTCCGTGGTGTAGTGGTTAGAGCGTCCGCCCGGAGAGCGGAAGGTCGCGGGTTCGATCCCCGACCGCGTCATACCAAAAGACGTTAAAATATGGTACTTGTTGGTCCCTGCCTGGCGCTCGGCATTAATGGGTACAACAAGGACTGGTCGGCTCGGAGTCAGTATAATGTGTCTGAGTGGGGTATTCATGCTTCACTGCGGCATGGTATCTCAGTGGGCTAGCACTATAAAACCAGCTTAAGTCTGGGCTAGTACAAGCAGCCGCACATACACATACACACGCATGCACATCGTCATATGAGCGAAATGTTTTCAAGCACGACGTAAAACCCAATTTCACCTCACCTCACCTCACTCGTATAGCTGTGTACAATAAACCAAAATAAGATCGATCACATATATCAATAAAGTCAAACGTATATAACACCTCGCCTAGCCCTGCAGCAACAACCAGTAATTAGTCTCCGCCGTGATACAGATGGCCCGTTGCCCGAGGACACATGTAATGATCTTCTGGCTCGTTCATCACTCCTGACCTGAGGTTATCCCAACAGACTCGGGGGCATCACACATGCAAAGGAAAACGATCAACACCAGCTCGTTATCTGTATGCAGTTGTCACAAAGCTTGTCACATAGTCCGTCAATATTGGAACCATTAACAGCATGGCACGCTCCATTAGTTTAGTGACCAATTATAATCATTTCTGTCATTCATGAAATTATATTTGTCGATTTTGCCACCATGACATCCCCCTTATCGTAGCGTTGATCTTCGTTGCCATAGGTTTTCCACGTAAAAGATGACCTGATGAGAGAGTTTTTGCGATTTAGGTTTTGTTTGTTGGTTTGTTTTTTAACGCCGCCCTTTACAAAACAACCAAGTGATCAACAGCATGAGCATCGATCCACGCATTTTGGATACGATGACATGTGTCAACCAAGTCAGCGAGTCTGACCACCCGATCCTGTTAGTCGCCTCTTACGACAAGCATAGGTTGCTGAAGACCAATTCTAACCCGGATCTTCTCGAACGTTTTCAATTTGGAACATTTCGTAAAATAATCGTGTATTTGTTTTGACAATTTATCACCAAACTGGTTATTTTTGTCACCTGTAAAAGTTTAAAAAGTTAAGATATTAAGTAAATTTCAAAGAGGGGATGTACATAGTGGCCCCCTTGGGGCTTGCTGGCTTCAGCTGCCGTTATCGTTGATGTTGGTTCAAGTGTCAAAAAAGAAACTTCACATTCTTTCTTCAGGGCACTATAAAAGAACAAGAGATGGTAAGATGGTTAAATTGGTATTATTTCATTGCTGAGATCTGTTTGATGTACTCGATACACTGACAGTGCCATAATCAGTTCCATTAGGCTACACCGCCGTTCCATAACATGGGTATACAGAATGTCAAGTCACAAGAATAAAAATGCGAAATTTCTCAGTTCAATATCGTGTATGGCCGCCCCGCGCATTCACCACTGCCAAACACCGTCTCCTCATCGACTGCCTGATGCTTGTGAACACGTGGTTGGGGATTCTGCGTCATTGTTCTTGCAAGGCAGCGCCAAGTTCCTGCAAATTCTGAGGTTGGTTCCTAAGACCACGAAGCCTTCTCCCAAGTGCATCCCAAACGTGCTCTATTGGATTTGGGTCAGGGGACCTCGATGGCCAGTCCATGACGTTGATTCCAGAGTTTTGAAGGAAATTACATGTCAACATCGCGGTATGCGGCCGAGCATTATCATGCTGGAACTGTAGACCTGGGCCATGAGCCACCATGAAAGGAACGAGTTCAGGGGTGAGCACCTGGTCGCGGTAAGCAGCAGCTGTGAGGTTTCCACGGATGACCAGAAGTCGGGAACGGTTGCTCCCACAGAAAGCACCCCACACCATGCAACTTCAGCCCCCGAATCTGTCGACTTCCTGTACACAACATTGGGCATATCGTTCACGACGTCGTCTCCAGACTCTATGCCTGCCGTCCGCGAATCTGAGGGTAAACCTGGATTCATCGCTAAAGACGACTCGATTCCAGTCTCTCTGGGTCCATCGGAGGTGACGTTGGGCCCACAGCAGACGTTGACGTTGATGAAACGGCGTCAATACTGGCCCACGATATGGACGTCGAGAATAGAGATTGGCAGCCCGCAACCGATTTCGAATGGTCTGTGAGGACAGTCGACCTCTAAACATCTCAGCCCTGGTTCGTGTAGCCGGCAGAAGACTGTCACGTAGCTGACGTAGGACGATTTGACGGTCTTCTGCTCGTGACGTCGACCTTGGGCGATCAGAAGTGGTGCCAGTTTGTTGTAGACGACCTCGCAAGTCATACACAGTACGACGGCTGCATCCCATTGCTCTTGCGACGTCAATAACTGATCTTCCCGCTTGCAACATGTCAACGGCACGTTCACGTTGCACATTTGACAATCGTGGCATTTCAAGTACCAATAGAACTGTGGTTTAAAAGTGTATTTTTCAATTCTTGAGGCCAATGCAAACACGTGCATATGAAGAAAACTTCGATGCGAAGATCACGTGATCGACTGCACCTGCAAAACCTGATTTGGCACTAACATCATTTGCACGACGAATGGATGGGTTTGAGAGGGTTTTGCTAACGTTTTTCTAGAGTCGAAAGATAGGGATCCCATTTCGGATACATAGATGTATCATCAGAGAAAAATTATTCATTATTTTTCAAATTACATTTTTTGAAGTTTCTTTTTTGACTCAGTATATTATTACAACCTCAAAACAAAACTCCTGTCACATCTAAGATTCACAGACAAAAAACATACCTACATTTTTCATATTATGACTACCCGGTCCGGGTTAGAATGATCCTTCAGTACCCATGCTTGTCGTAAGAGGCGACTAACGGGATCGGCGTGGACACGATACATGTCGACGGCTTTGTCATGGTAGGAGTGAGTGAGTATGATTTTACGCCGCTTTTAGAAATATTCCAGCATGGCAATAGTTCCATCTCATTCTGTGACGTTGAGCACGTGCAGGTGGATCAGATCCAGGAAATCAATTCCCGCATTACCGGCGCGGATTGTTACATTTACAAATCAAGAATAAGGTTAGCTAACATTTTCTGTCATCGTATCCCATGGCGTAGATTGATGCTCATTATGTTGATCACTGAATTGTCGGGTCCAGACCCGATTATTTACAGACCGCCGCCATATAGCTGGAATATTGCTGAGTGCGGGTAGCCCAGTGGTTGAAGCATCGCTCTCTGAAGACCCGGGTTCGATTCCCCACATGGGTACAATGTGTGAAGCGCATTTCTGGCGTCCCCAACCGTGATATTGCAGGAATATTGCAAAAAGCGTCGTAAAACCAAACTGACTCTCACAACAAATACAGAAATCTGTGAAAACAGATTCCCGTCAAGGAAACGTTTATAGAGAAACGGTTCCATGCGAAATATTCTCTGGAATACAATTGACATGTATAAGAGCTATCCGGCGATCTGTTAACAGGGCACAAACCAAGTGTGTTCTGGATTATGTAGACTTAGTTCTACACCAGGAGGTCACACAAAATGACTGTATTACCCAAATTTACTAACGTCAGGAAATACTCGTTTCATCCGGCGGCCATATGAACAACGTTTGAAATCTACGTATCATCTGGCCGTCAGATTTATACACGTTTAAAAGGGTGTTAAAATAAACATACATTCGACTCGGTATTTACATGTATTTCACAGGTGTGTAAATCTGGCCATTGTTTCCATGTGTTTCCTAACATGTG